GTGTGTGTGTGGGGGGGGGGCTGCCATGGCAACGGCACTCTAGAAAATTCTTGTAAAACTCACATTTTCTTATCTTGCTGTTGCATGTCACCACAAAATGGTGATGGGTGCTTTATCTAACGTTCCCCTCACAAAGACTGTGTCACCTCTGTGCATTTAGTTACACCAGTTCAAACTTTAAACTGCAGGATTATCAATGGTTGTCGAGGTGAAGAAGAAATTAGGAGGCAACTCGCTGGGATTAAACTACTAGAGTGTTTAGTTTCTAAAGTGAGTCTGTGTTTGGTTTTTGTAGGCTGTGAAGACATGTGGGACAGTCACTTGACAAATGTCACTCACACACCAAAGCTTAATTTATGTGTTTGCCTTAGCAAATCATTTTGTACATTCATTTATGATTTCATTACAACACCGACTAATTGGAGGGTATGGGAGTGACACACTGTGTTCCAGACTCAGTATAGATTTACCATCTGGCTGTTCCACAAATAGGCCTGAGTATGGACTCTACAATGCCTTTAGATCCTACTTAAACAGGGACACAACACTAACTAAACATAAACATAAATCACTGAACACAGAGTTTATATATTTACATGAGAGTAAAGTTTAGTGCAGGTGGGAATACGTTTATTCCAGTTTTATGTCAATCCTAATGCAGACCACAGAGATAGGGTTACCTCAGTGTCAGTCAGGCTACTTTTAGTCAGTAACTGTATGGCAGGGTGACTTGTTTATCTGTACCTAACTGAAGATACTGCCGCTGTGTTACTTGAAAAGCGTACCGTAAAAGTGTCACTAGTGGTGAAGAGAGAGATGCTGTTTCTATTAATTCAATCACACAAAGAAGTGTATCTTCATCATTCACCCACAAAAGCACAAGATAGTTTTCACTCCAAAAAAATCACAGCGAGCTTTATTTACTGAGTTTTTACAAAAGACAAAATGTATCAAATATACGTCTGTCATCGACGTGGTAAAACAAATCTGACTGTAAGATCTTCCTCCATTAAAAATCAATGAAGCCAAACAAAGAACAGCAGATTTATTCATTGAATTACATTATCATTAATAAAAATAATAAGCACATCAGGACCAAAAACTGTTCACTGCTCAAGTTAGGTAAAACAAACCAGTGGAAATGTAAAGTAAGAAACATTGTCATGTCCTAAAACAAGACAGACAGAATTTGGTGGGGAATAAGAAACAATAAAAACAACTGAAACTGCTCTCGGGAACAAGAAGGATCTTCAGAGTTTTCTGGTGTCCTTTTAGGTCACAGGACTTCCCATGAGCCTCTCCTGTCTCAGCGAGATCAGTCTGTTGAGCCACAACTCCTCGGCCTTCTCCTTGTCCATGAACAACTGCAGAACAGCGTAGAGAGGATACGTTAGTAAGCAGAAAGACAACGGTACGGATAAGCACAGGGACCAGAGGACTAAAGGGAACTACCAAACTGTATTCAAGAACCAGTGTTGCTTTACTTTGTTGACTGTACTGAGACAAACATAAAAACAGCTAAGGGAAGTTAATTCTAAATGACAGGGCATGGCATGATTGAGTGGAAAAATGAGTGCGCCGGGAAACACAAAACAAAAACTGCATATCTGGTATGTGAAGGTATAAAATCAAAACCTCAGATATGAGTGAACTAATAATTTTATCATATAACAGTGAAAAAACGCCCATAACAATTTCATAATCAAATGTCTTGTTTTGCTCGACGATCAATTCAAGGAACCCAAAGATATTTCATTTACTGCAGGAAAGATTACCTGCTAACTCTGGTGCAATTACTTTTAATTGTGCACCGTCCCAGCAAAAGTAAACAAATAAAATACATATTTTTTTAATAATAGCAATGGAAAAAAATTTTGTATTTGAGAACCTGAAACCAAAAATGTTTGGCATGTTTGTTTGGAAAATGACAATAGTTAACAATAGTTCATATCTGCAACCAAATTTCCAACAATATGACACCGCCATATGTTCTACAGATTGAAAAGGAAGATTGACATGGAGCTTTTAAAAAAAAAAAAAAACCTCACCAAGACCGGCAGAATTTGTTGACCACCTCCACACCTTTCTAGTTTAATTGCTCTGTTTGAATTTACTACAGTTCAGGTTACTCACAGGAAGAATGTGACAGAAATGAATGAGCTATGTTTCCTAGTAAGTTGAGTTGTTAGTACTGTCCATTGACCCCCATGGGACCTCCTTATGGAGTTCTGAGTCACACTGATGATTCTGTTGTATCTTACATGTCTTACTAGTCTTTATTTATCTTAATCTCATCCATTCTGTGGGCCTAGCAGTGTGTTCGCCCCGGTGACAGAAAAAGGCCTACACATGTGACTTGTATTCGTCGCAGTACATCACCAGCAGCAATGATATTGATTGTAAGAGGGCTATAAAACTGCTGCTGCAAGTGTCTGATGAATGGAGCCATCTGTTTATTAGGAAGTAACATAATGACTATAAGACTGAGAAGCAAGGCACTGAGGCACAGGGAGAAATTGGAAAATCATTTCTATATTCAGTGTGTGTGTTTGTGTGAAAGTTGATGTTGACATGCTGGATATGTGTACATACTGTACATCTCTTCGATGATATGTGTCTATTATTATGCAGATTGTAGAGCGACCGCGGCCACGTCAATCCCTCATTCCTAAACCTACGCTGCTTACAGCTGCACTGCATGTTATCTGTGTGTTAGATTCAACACCAGTGAGTTCTTGTCTGTCGACCCTGCGCTGGTGTCATGGTGCTAATGAGGCTGTGTGTGTGGGATGACAGTATCTGGCCTGGGCTAATGGGACTCATCTGTTCTAATTGGAAGTGGAGCTGTAGCTGAAGCTGAGGCCGGGGCCCGCCTGGGGCATATTGCTACCATACATCAGCCTGTCTGAGGGTGTGTATGTGTGTGTGCATTTGAGCTGGCGGGCGGTGTGTGTGTATTTGAGGGGGTTATCTGCATACGTCAGGGCATAACTTAGTTTCCCCAGTGGAGATAGATGACTGGGAAGCCCCAGGGAGCGTTATTGGAGTTTAAAGTTTCCTTCTCGTTTTTCATCATTGGTCTGCAGGCAGGGGAGGAGGTGATGTTAGGAGGCTATAATCTACTATACCGCAGTGTCCTATACTATACGAAGCACATTGTCAGAATATGCAGGAATGGTGTAAATAGTGGTGGTGTTGATAGCAGCTGCCGTACTTTTTAAAAGAAAAAGTTTACAAAGTTTGCCCACCAATCAATGGGCACAACACTCATAAAAACAAGATGGTACCAAAAGATAAAATGACAAGAAGCGAGATCAACTTTATCTGTGCCTGAGGACTGAAAGTTACTTTGTTGGGTGTTAAAAAGTCTGTGTTATAGAACTGCAGGGTTTGCCTTGTGTGTGAACTTACGCTGGGATGGGCGAGCGTGTCGTTGTCGTTGTAGACTATGGAGATGGGAAGAGTGACATCCTGATAATCTGCCCTATCGGACTCCTGCTTCACCTCAACTGGCTCGGCCTGTAGTCACAGAAATACACAAAACATGCATATATGTGTCACAAACAAACTAAAACAGGAATTTATTCACATTTACAAAGACTTTAGAGCACCAAAAGGCATACTAATACAGAAACATGATTAAATATAATTCAACTAATAAATTGTGAAAGAAATGATGTCTGACTCGGTGAGATCTGAAGCTGTTTCAACATCCTCCTGGATCCACATTCTCTACATATATTTTATAATCTTCATATATCAGAAACTGTCCTCGAAATGTTCATATACACATGTTCTATACACTCGGCATCTATTGCATGTCTGTCTGTCCTGGGTGAGGGATCCCTCCTGCACTTCTGTGGCTCTTCCTGAAGTTTCTTACATGTTTTGGGGGAGTTTTTCCTTACCCAAATCAAGGGTCTAAGGACAGAGGGTTTTGAATATTGTACAGAAAAATTGTGATTTTGGGCTATAAAAATAAAATTTGACTTGACATTTTTTAGTAAAGTAAAAGAATATGTTAGCCAAAGCGATATTAATATATAGATACAATGCAAAAGGAAATGGAGGCATTAATGTGGCTGCAAAACATCGGAAAAAAGCTGCAAATATATAAGATCTTCAAGCACAAAAGATCAATTTCAAATTTAGTTTCCCAATTTGCAAAGGAGGTCTTTTAGTGCATGTCTTTCATAATTTCCGGTTGGTATAAAGATTGGTGCGTATCACACATTATGTACAGTAAGTATGCAGTACAGAATTGGGACACAGAAAAGGACTGTAACATGCAATGCACCATTTGTCCAGCAGATGGCAGTGAAAGTCTGGCTTAGTGTATGGACAGTAATCAACTTGTATCCTGGATCCAGATTTAATGTCTCATCCATCTGTGTATGTGGATGTTTCTCCCCTCATATTATATCCTTAGATTTTCTGTGAGTATATTTGCACTAAACTGCAGCATGAGGGGGCTCATGTTGTTAATGTGTCATAAATCAAGGATTTATTAAATGTATCTTCTCCCCTTTCTTTACATTTAAGAACTTCTTGTCCCCTTTATGTTGCCAGGAGTCCAAGCTGACAGAAAGAAACGTGATGTTTAGAAATGATTCTTCCTCCATCCCTGGAGGTATTACTAAAAACTATATTAAGCCCCATATTTGGAAGGATGGCCTGTTCTCTTGTTGTGCTTGATAAAGAGCAAATATCAAAATTAATAGTTTGCCAAGTCCATTCATGTTTCAAACACTCCTAAAACCAGCCCCAGAGCAAATGTTTACCCAGTTGGAAAGATCTATTTAAAATTCATTTGGCAGGACACATAAAGTGAGCGAGATATAAAACACTCTGGCTAATAAGTATG